TAAAACAAAGAATTCCCCAAGAATTGAGCAGAAAAGTGTTCTCAGAAGAATTCCCAGGTGTACAGGAATGACTACAAAAAGGAACCCAGCCCATTTCCTAGAATATCACCATAGTAACCACCCCCATAACTAGCTATAGCTGACCCTCAAGTGTACATTTTTCTCCCAATTGCTTTCATAACTTCTACATGAATGTTCCAGAAGTACCTCAAATGCAACATATCTAAACATAACTTATTCTTTCCCTCTTTCTTATACACAAAACAAGTTCTCTATTCCCAATTTTTTATTTATGCTATTACCTCTACCTGGATTATTCACATTTCTGCCTCAAAAGCCCTTCAAATGTTATCTATAAAGTCTTTCCTAATTAACCTACCTAACATAATGTCTTCTTTCTTTAAAGTTCTATAACATATATACTGACTTTATGAAACAGTTTATTTGTCATATGTCATAGCTCACCTGTTAGATTTCTTGAGAATAAGGACCCTGTCTCATTTTTGTGAAATCTGTAAGGTCTAGTACATGCTAAAGTAGGGTTTTCAAAAAGTTAAAAATGTGACTTTCTCGCAAATAAATATAAAATGAATGTCAAAGATTTTATTCAACTCTGTAATTAATGAGGAAATCACCAATCAAAGGATATTTTGAGGCAAGGATTTATGTAATCAGTCAAAAGAATGCTGAAATAAATTTGCTAGTAAATGCAAAATTGGTTACTCTCCTACCAGCAATAAGTTATAATATTTTAGCCCTAACTGGTTTGGCTCAGTGGATAGAGCGTCGGCCTACGGTCTGAAAGGTCCCAGGTTTGATTCCGGTCAAGGGCATGTACCCTTGGTTGCGGGCACATCCTCAGAGGGAGGTGTGCAGGAGGCAGCTGATCAATATTTCTCTCCCATCGATGTTTCTAACTCTGCCCCTCTCCGTAAAAAAAATCAATAAAATACAGATTTTTTTAAATTATAATATTTTATTTTTTTGTTGTTAATCCTCACCCGATATTTTTCCATTGATTTTTGGAGAGAGTGGAAGGGAGAGGGAGAGAGAAACATTGATGTGAGAGAGACACATCATTGGTTGCTTCCTGCACCCACACCAACCAGGGTCAGGGGAACCTGCAAACATGGTATGTGCCCTTGATGGGAACCAAACCCAGGACTCTTCAGTCTGCAGACCAATGCTCTATCCACTGAGCCAAACCGGCTAGGGCTAAATTATAATATTTTAAGTTGTCTCTTTGGCCCTGGCCAGGTAGCTCAATTAATTAGAGCATTGACCAGATACGCCAAGGTTCGATTTCCGGTCAGAGCATGTATAAGAATCAACCAATGAATGCATCCATAAGTAAAATAACAAATCTCTCTCTCTCCCCCCACCCTTTCACCCACCCTTCCTTCCTTCCTTCCTTCCTTCCTTCCTTCCTTAAATATTTCATGAACCTCTTTACACTAGGTGTCCTACTAGATCTCTAAAAAAAAAAAAAAATCAGCCTCACTCCCCTGGCTCAGTGGTTGAACATTGATCTATGAACCAGGAGGTCAAGGTTTGATTCCTGGTTAGAGCACATGCCCAGGTTTGATCCCCAGTGTGGGGCATGCCAGAGGCAGCCGATTCATGACTCTCTCTCATCATTGCTGTTTCTCTCTCTCCCTCTCTCTCTCTCTCCCTTCCTCTCTGAAATCAATAAAAAATATATACTTGAAAAAATAAATCAATAAATGAAGTTATATTTTCTACTGGAGGAAAATCAGTTGCTTCTCTACATAATGAAATTCATTTCCAGTGCTATAGACTGGAGTAATCTGCATTGCTCTCATCAAGAAGCATCTGCATTGCTATTAGTGTTCTACAAATTAACTCTTCCCTACAGAGTTGTAGAATAAAAAAGTAAAATTTAAAGAACACACAATGAATCATGTACAAATATAAAATATCCAAGAGTTTATTCAACTCATTAATGCAGTAACTAATAAAATTTTATAACTAGATCAAAAGAAAAAGCAAATTACCACACATATGCAATCAAATAAGGAATGCTGAAATGAATTATAAATTGATAAGAACTGGGTTACAATGTCCACAGGACAATAATCAATTACATGCATCCTCAAAATTGACATTTCTGTGGACAAGAATAATTCATATAACTCATAGTTTTCTACAACTTACAGAGTTGTAAAATAGCTCAAAGACAATGAAAAGCACAGTTCTCATAGAATTGGATAACCTGGAAAGATGTGCTAGCCAACCTGTTTTTTCCACTAAAGTTACTCAGTAGTCTTTTAGTTCATTTCAGTCTTTCAATTTTCCCCTACTTAGGTCTAGTCAATAAAAGGTGCATACCCCTTTAGAATCAGGTAAGCCCCTCAGCGTCTGCTACACAATGCCTGATAGCACACTGAAAGAATATTCAATTATCCTTTCTGCCCATTTCTAAGTTTGGGGTAATTTTTCTTGACATTCAAAATCTTACATATAGAAGTTGTTCAGGAGCATTTGAGATCTTGTTTCCCAGCATGTCCTGTTTGGCTCAAACTTTCATAAGATTTAGAGAAAAAAAATAAGTTTCTCAGTAAATGTTTGAGGCTTGATACTTGTAAATTCTGTAGTCCACATTTAGCTGTACCAACTCTGAGATGTCTCTGGAAAATCATACTGAAGGAGTATGATGCCTGTGACATGAATATAGTATTTATAGAAATAGAGCTTTTTATAAACTTGTTCCCTTGCATTCTGTTAGCCCTGAGATGCCTGAAAATGAAGCCACCTTCGCAATAACTGCTGGAGGAATTGGGGATGCCAAGGAGTAGGTGGTGAATTGATGCAAATTGCTTCTTAGTGCTTATTAGGAGATGAAGAAATAGAAAAGCAGTCTCACATTTTAGATCTTGATTTAAGAATTTGTTTTTTCAACATGTTATTAAAGGAAAGTTGGCAAGAGATTTAACTCATATTTATCTAAAAATGTAAAAAGTTCTTGATTTATAACTTTACATTGTATGTCAATTCATGAATATATATGAATGAATAAACCTATCAAAATAGTTGGGGCTCTAGCTGGTTTTTCTGTGGTTAGAGCATCAGCCCATGTACCTCAGTTGCATGCTCAATCTCCAGCACCATACCCTAGCCTGATCCCCAGCCCAGTTGGGGCGCTTGTGGGAGGCAGTCAATCGATGTTTCTCTCTCTCTCTCTCTTTCTCCTCCACTTTCCTTCCACTCTAAAACTAATAGAAAAATATCCTCTGGTGAAGATTAAAAAAATAATAACTAGTTGGGGAAAGGGTACCCGATTCTCTCACTTTAGCTTTTTTTTTTAATTGTGTAATTCCATTTATGTGAAACTTCCAGAATAGGCAAATCCATACAGACAGAAAGTACACTAGAGTGTGCCAGGGCCTGGAGGGAGAGACTGCTAAGGGTAAGGGGTCTCCTTTTGGGGTGTTGGAAATATTCTGGAACTAGAGGTGATGGTTGCACAACACTGTCAATGTACTAAATCCTCTTGAATTGTACACTTGCAAATGGCCAAAATGGTGAACTTTTGTTATGTGAATTTTATCTCAAAATTAAATAATAAAACACAGTGGTCTGATTCTAACATGTACATTTCTTTATCACAAAAGAAAAAAGCAGTAAATGACAGCATCAGGGGCAGGGGATGATCAGTCATGTCACAGGAGGGGGGAAGCTGGACATCTGGAATCCTGGAGATACCGGGAGTGGGGAGACAGGAGGGAACTGGGGGAGCAAGTCTGCTCCACCTCTGCGTTCACCGGATCGTGTACTTGTCCCACTTCTTCTCGGGGTCGTAGGGTTCCCAGCGGCTGGCGGGGAAGATGTGCTTGTTCTTCTCGTACCAGCTCCTCAGCACCACCTTGCCCGCGTGTGACTCGTCCTTCTCCACAGTGGCGTCACTGAGCAGCCGCACATCATCATGAACGTCGAAATTAAAGAGTGGGCCACTCTTCCCTCGTGCCTTGGTGACGATGAAGTCGTAGAAGCTGTGGTGGTGGGGTATGATGAGGTCCTCCTTGATGTACATGAGCTGCTCCACCCCTGCTGACCTGAGCTCGCTGAAGTCCTTGCGCAGGATCTCGAGCGCCTTCTGCAGGAACTGCTGCATGGTGTTGCCTTTTTTCATCTTGACTGTCCGGCGGTGCCCGGAGCCATCCCAGTAACTGAAGGTGATTTCAATCTCCTCACTCTTGATCTTCTCCTGCTTGGCTTCCCACTCTTGCCGCAGCTCTTCCCGGAGCCGATTCTCCTCCTCCTCGCGGTCGCGATCAGGCAAAAAGCTTGTGTCCACATCGGGGTTCTTCCCCAATTTCCTCTTCTTGGCGGCGATCTCTTCCCTTTCCAGCTCCTCCTCATCCAGGGCCACCTCCTCCAGCTCCTCGCTCACCTCCTCCTCCTCCTCCTCCTCACCCACCGTGAAGGACAGGCAGGAGATCTTCCGCTTGGCCTCCTTTTTGCGCTCCTTCTCGCGCAGCTTCTCCAGCTTCAGCTGCAGCTCCTTGGACTGCTCCTTCTTGGCCAGCTGCTTCTCCCGCTCCTTCACCAGTGCCTCCTGCTTGGCCTTCATGTCATTCAGGGTCACCAGCCCCACGGTGCTGGACTTGAGCTCCGCCTCCACGGCGTCGTAGTGCGCAGAGAACTTCTTGTCGATGTTGGATTTCATTATGTTCTCCTCGGCGATCCGCTGCTTCATCTGCTCCATTTGCTCGCGCTGCTTCTCCCGCTTCTTCATCAGGTGCATGGCGCGGCCCGCCTCGCTCGCGGCGCCCTTGTACTGAGCCATGGCGACAGCGGAGTCGGAGGCGGCAGCGGAGACGCAGGCGGCAGCGGCGACGAAGGCGGCAGCGGAGACCGAGGCGGCAGCGGCGAGGGG